TAGAGGGGTGGTCCTCAAAGCTGGCCAGCCAGATGGGGAACGAACCCAGCTTCGGCACCTTGCAGCCGTAAGCGGGGCCCGACGGCCCCTTTCCTGGTCTGCGAAGCAAATGACAGACGGAGGCACAATACCTGCCTCACAGGACTGGTATTAGCAGCAGCGATTACATGCACACAACGCCTGCCACGTAAACTCAGCTCAGAACAGCTTCTCTGAGTGGTGGCCCCGACCTTTGTCAGAGGACAGAGAGAGGCTGACCAGCTGACACCAGCAGCTGCCATCTCAGGGGCCACCGGGACCAGACAGACAGCAAACACGGGAGAAGCCAGGCTGGGCGGGGAAGAGGTAATGGGATCTGTCCTGAAGGGGGCGCTGCCTCTCAGCTCCAGCCCCTGGTGCCTGAGTGCCCACCCAGGGTGCCGGGGCTTCTGATCTTTTATTTATTGAAAGAGAGAGTGAGTGGAGGAGGGGCAGAGAGAGGGGGAGACAGAATCCCAGGCAGGCTCCGGGCTGTCAGCGCAGAGCCCGACGCGGGGCTCTATCTCCCGAACTGTGAGATCGTGACCCGAATCGAAATCCGGAGTCAGGAGCTTAACTGACTGAGCCACCCAGGCGCCCCCGGGCTTCTGACTTTTTAGGAGAAGCGGGAAATCCAGGTTTTTAAAATATGAAATCCCTGGCTTTGTGAATATGGCAACTTACGAGGTGCCTGGGTTTAAAAACATATTTTTTAAATTTTTTAAATGTGTATTTATTTTTTAGAGACAGAGCACAAGCATAGGAAGGGCAGAGAGAGAGAGGAAGACACAGAATCCGAAGCAGGCTCCAGGCTCTGAGCTGTCAGCACAGAGCCCAACGTGGGGCTTCAGCCCACAAACCGCGAGATCATGACTTGAGCCGAAGTCGGATGCCCAACCGACTGAGCCCCCCAGGCGCCCCCAGAGTTTTATCTGGTGATAAAAGTGAGCGCACTTGTGAGCGTCCCCAGCTTAGAGTGAGTTTTCCACGTACTCAGTCTGAGATGGGACTTTATTATTATTCTTCAACATATGTGTAGTTGCGAGTACAAATGACACTCATTTGTTTGTCTACTTATTTGTTGGGCCAAATCGGCCCCAACAACTCCTCGGGTAGTCGTGTGTAATCAGATTTGTTTTGTGTGTGTGTGTATGTGTTTTTAACATGCTTTTAAAGTAAAGAAATAAATGCAATTGAGGCTTGTAAAAGGTGATCATTAGAAAATGGGCCTCGGCCCCATAACTTCAAAGTAATAGCCCCATTACGGAGTGGGGCGACCGAGATTTAACTGCTCCTCCTCCTGAGGCTGGGGGGGTGAGGGGCTCTGCACTCTTGTTGGGCATCTCAGTAAAAGCCTTTCCAGCAGCCATTTAACCTCCATTTACGAAGAAATAAAGCAAAATTGATGCTGATTTGGGCCCGCTGTGGGGGATATTTTTGTTCCGTAAAAGCCCTTTTGCTTGCAATTTGCCGGGCCACCCTGACACATGAGAAAGGGCTGCTGTTGATAAAGATAAAGCTTTATGGCCCCGATATTTGCTGCTAACAGCAACCTAATGCAGCATTTTCATTTTTGTGCAATTAATGTTAACGTCTGCTACGAAAATTGTCATTAAATACCATTTTAAAATCCATTCAATTTGCATATGCAAAGCCCATTTACCATCACAGAGGATATAGCCCGTGCTTCATCACGTCCTTACCCTCAAATTGTAGCCACTCGGTTTTATAGCAATTTAAGATTTTATATTGAAAGCCAGATGATAATGGACGTCCTTTCTGAGCCCAGCTGACTTAAGCTTTTCCATTGTACATGGAAGAAGGCAGCCCCGGGGCTGGAAACTGTGGCTGTTTGCACGGTACCTCAGTCCCAAGGAGACGAGTGTATGAGAATGAGCACTGGACGGCGAGTCCGCCCACCTGGCTCTAGATCTGGCTCTTGTCTGGTCCCAAGTTGCTGCGTGACCTTGGGCAAGTCTCTTCACCTCTCTGCATGGCTGCTTCCTTTTATTTATTCTATTTATTATTTTTATGAAGTAGGCTCTATACCCAGCATAGGGCTCGAGCTTAGGACCCCGAGGTCCAGAGTCCCATGCTCCGCCGACTGAACCAGCCAGATGCCCCTGCTTTCTTCTTTCCAATAATGGCTTTGATCCAGGTGACGGCTAATGCCCTGTGTCTTCTAGAATTTTATTTTTAAATATAAGCACACGGGGTTGAGAACCCAGCTTAGGGAGGTCGGTCAAGTTCTCCCTGCCTGAACCAGGGAAGTAACCCCACCCGCCTCCCGCACTGGCTTTTGGGGGAAAAGGAAGGGAAACTGACAGAGACCAAACGTAACCTGGGAGTCCCCTGCTGGCGGAGTTACCGCTCTGAGAGCCTACTGACGGGTCGGGAAATAGAAGCCCTGGAGGAAAACACGGGGACCTGCTGGAACAAGGTCCCCAGGCAGCCCGCGCTAGCCCAGCGATCTAGCGCACCGTGTCCCCCTGTCCCTCTGCACTCCGGGCAGCCTGCGGAAACCTTGCCTTTGAGGGACTGACTTTAGGGCATCATTTCAAAGGTGGAGGAAGGGCGGCGTGCCGAGGATTTGTTAATCCGGTCCAGAAGTGGCTTTCCAATGTGCCTCTAGTGTCGCCGTCCACGTTTTGAGGGCTGGCGAGTGGAAATGCATCTCAGGTGAGAGAGAGGTTGCGCCGTTGAGGCCACGGGACGTTGGGAGAGCTTTACCGCAGAGATGACGTGGAGCTGGATTCTGGAGAACGAGCAGGTTTCGGCGCCTGGCGGGAACAGGCAGGGGAAGGCGACCCCGACAATGGCAGTTCCCACTGAGGAAAACACGATGGCACTTCCTCGAAACACGAAGCTTGGAGTCTCAGCAGCGCCACTCGTGGGTGGACCCAGAAGAACCGAATGCAGGGACTCCCACAGAGCCGTGCGCACCCACGTTCACAGCTCTGTTCACCATAGCCTAAAGGTGGACACAAGCCAAATGCCCATCGACGGACACACGGAGAAACGAAATGTGGCGTATCCACACAATGGGACGGTCTTCAGCCTTGAAAAGGAAGGGAATTCGGACACGCGCTACGCTAAGTGGAACGGGCCGGAAATGAAAGAGCAAATTCTGCACGATTCCAGTTAGATGTGGTGTCCACGGTAGTCAATCGTAGACACAGAACACGGAGCAGTGGGTGCGGAGAGCCGAGGGACGGGAGGAATAGAGACCACGTAATGGGGACTGAGTTTCAGTCCGGAATGAAGAAAGGTCTGCAGATGCAGGGTGGTGTTGGCTGCAGAGCAGCGTGAATGTCCTTAATGCCACTGAGCTGCACGTTTAAAAATAGCAAATCTTGGGGCGCCTGGTGGATCAGTCGGTTAAGCAACTGACTCTTGACTTCGGCTCAGGTCATGAGCTCATGGTTTGTGAGGTCAAGCCCCGCGTGAGGCGCCTCCCTGGAAGCCTGGATCCTGCTTGGGCTTCTCTCTCTCTCTCACTTCTCCCCTTACCCCCCACCACTCAGACTCATGCTCGCTCTCTCTCAAAATAAATAAATAAAAACTTACAAAAAATAGTAAATCTTACCACAATGGAAAATAATTAGAGGGGCGCCTGGGTGGCTTAGTCGGTTAAGCGTCCGACTTTCGCTTAGGTCATGATCTCGCGGTTCGTGGGTTCGAGCCCCGCGTCAGGCTCTGTGCTGACAGCCAGCTCGGAGCCTGGAGCCTATTTCAGAGTCTGTGTCTCCCTCTCTCTCTGACCCTCCCCTGCTCACGCTGTCTCTCTCTCTCTCTCTCCCAGAAATAAATAAAAATATTTAAAAAAAAAGAAAATTATTAGAAAAAATAGGGGCGCCTGGGTGGCTTAGTCGGTTAAGCGTCCAACTTTCGCTTAGGTCATGATCTCGCAGTTCGTGGGTTCGAGCCCCGCGTCGGGCTCTGTGCTGACAGCTCGGAGCCTGGAGCCTGTTTCAGTCTGTGACTCCCTCTCTCTCTGACCCTCCCCTGCTCACACTGTCTCTCTCTCTCTCTCCTAGAAATAAATAAAAAAACATTTAAAAAAAGAAAATAATTAGAAAAAATAAAAAATAAAGAAGGAACCATCACCAATCATGATAATAATAACAACCGCGATAATAAAGTAAGGTGGGAGCGCCAGAGGAAGACGCATATCCAGGTACAGTGGGTGGGGGATGGGAAAGAGGTCGGGGACAGACTGTCAGTGACACTGCCACACGGATGGACCAAGATATTGGCTTCTCTGTCACGGGCATCTGGGTGGGGCTTCGTGGCCGCAGGCCACTTGTTACTAGCTGTGGGTACTTATTTATTTGCATAGTGCAAGGTATAAACACCAGTGATTTTTTGTGCTGTGACACAGCGTGGGTTAGGAAGCCCTGCTATATCGAACATCAGTGGTTTTCGCTGCAGAGAGACGGAGAGAGAGGGGGAGACACAGAATTGGAAGCAGGCTCCAGGCTCTGAGCTGTCAGCACAGAGCCCGATGCGGGGCTCGAACTCATGGACTGCGAGATCATGACCTGAGCTGAAGTCAGATGCTTAACTGACTGAGCCCCCCAGGCACCCCATTACTTTTTTTTAATGTTTACTTATTTATTTTGGGAGAGAGAGAGATTGAGAGAGAGACTCCCAAGCAGGCGCCTGTGTCTGCATGGAGCCTGATGCCAGGCTCCAACCCATGATGGCGAGATTATGACTTAACCTGCTGAGCCACCCGGTCGCCCCTGCATCCTACTTTTAGAGAATGTCCTGCATCCTAGAGTCGGGGCATGGGTCACGTGTCTGCTGCTGAGCCGATCACTGCAACTCAGGTCTGTGAGCTACAGTGATTGGCCAGGCCTGGGGCGCCACCCCCTGCCTGGAGTCCCAAGTCACGTCGCCCACTGTTCCCCACTTTGGTCACCACTGAGCGCCCTCCGGCCCCACGGTGAGGGACAGAGCCTTGTGTGCCGGCCACTTACCGTGACATGACCCCAAACGTCATGTTTGGAGGGAGAGAGGGCACCTCCTTCTTGATGCGTCGGTCATCCTGGTCACTGATGCGAATGTCGTTGAGCTGGCGGTAGAGGAGGTTCTCCCGGGCGGTTACCAGGCCGGCTTTCACTGCCCCACGGTTCATGGCGATGTAGTCCCGGGTCAGCTCGTGGGGGCACGTGGGCTGCTGCTTAAACACGTTCCAGTGTCCGATGGCTGAGGGCAGGGGGGACGGAGCCAGGGCACAGCGGTCAGTAGGCGAAGTAAAGCAATCACCTGACCGAGAACAAACTGGGGCACCCTCGCCTCCGTTACCCCAGAGCCTGCTGTGTGACGGCCCTGCGTGGCCTGCTGGGAAGGGAGCAGTCGGGGTTCCCAGAGATCCCGGGGGGGGCACCCAAGTAGAGCCAGGTTCACCTGGCCTTTACCTCCTCAGGGCCATCAGAAGGTTGGTCCTGAGCCCCTTCTGTGCTCGGAGCTCAAACAGGACAGGGCACAGTCTCTTGTCTGGGGTCAAGGGTCCACACTGGCTGGGGCCCACGCTGTTGCCCTAGCACCTTAGACCTGGACCCTGCACGGGCCTCCCCATCTCGGCCAAGCCCAGACTGTGGCTTCCACCAGAATCACGCTGTGGGGCAGACCCCGCGACTCTTCGGCTCTTTCCCAGCCACCAAGTGGCCGACCTAGGTTGAGAGTTCCCGCCCCTCCCCGCTGGGGGCTCCAAGGCACGCGTGCTCACCTTCAGGGACCCCTCCATCCAGCCCCCGGATGTAGAGTCCGTAATTGAAATCAATCCCAGGCAGACTGCAACTTCTTTCCCGGGGCTTCCCAAGTTCCGCCTGCGTGGGGCAAGACAGACAGCCAAGGTGAGGGGAGCGGGATCTCAGACCAACCGCATCCTGCCAAGTTCAGCAACAGGAATCGACGGGACGCTGCAGGCCCTGGGCGTGACCTTCAGGGCTCCCAGGGTGTGGGTGGTAGAGCCCTCCCCGAGTGAGCGCAGGGGGCGCTGGGCATCGAGACATGACTGGAAAAGCTTGCCTGGTGTGCTCGTGATAAGGGACAGTGAGCGGGGTCAGGAGGACCCCCGAGGCCCTGAAAGCGGCGGTGAACGTGTGCGATGGGAGGGGCGCGCAGCAGGCCCTGCCCTGAGCGGCGGCATTTGGGGTCTAGCCTGGCCGGCGCTGGAAGCGAGTCGCCCCAGCGGATGCACTGGGAGGCCTGGTTCGCAGAGATTCCCCCGGAGGCCCCGGTTCAAGGAGGGGCCATCTTCCCTACCTGACTCCACTCCTACCAAAGAGGGCTTGCCTCACTGTCAGGGTCGCCCGTGAGGGTGTCGATGCTCCTTGAATCCTCACCGGCCGTGGGGGATGGTAACAAGGCCCCCCATCACCTTCCCGGTGGCTGGACAGAAGGGGGTCATAGGGACAGAACTGCTGGGTCACCAACCACGTGACTCCCCCTTTCTGTTCTCGTGATCCACGGCCCTAACGCATGGGCTGGGTTTCACAGGCCTCCAGCCGGGGGTCTTAATCATTAGGTTACACGGCCTCTCTCGGGGCGCCTGGGGGCTCAGTTGGTTACGCGTCTGCCTGTGGCTCAGGTCAGCATCTCATGGTCTCACGGTTTGTGAGTTCGAGCCCTGCATCAGGATCTCTGCTGTCGGCACAGAGCCCGCTTCGGATCCTCTGTCCCCCTCCCTCTGCCCCTCCCCTGCTGGGGCTCCCCTCTCTCTCTCTCTCTCTGTCAAAAATAAATAAGCTTAAAAAACAAAAAAAAGATTACACAGCCTCTCTTTCAAGTAGCAGCGGCCTGAGGTCAGAGGTCCTGTCCTGTACGGTGCTTCCGTGAGGCCGTGCTGAGTTCTGTGTGCAAAGTTCTGACTGTGCTGAGTTCTGACTGGGTGCTGAGTTCTGACCATGTGCTAAGTTCTGACTTGTTCCAGATACGATATTCAGTTCTTCCTGTGCTCCTCTCATGCAGAACCCATCACTATCCCCATTTCTCAGATGAGGAAGCTGAGGCAAACAGTGAGGTCAAACAGTTTGCACAAGGCCATAGAGTAGAAGTGGCCGATTTGGGACTCGAACCCGAGCTGTCTGCCTCCAGCCCACACTCAGATCCACCGGTTCAACAAACACTAACGAGTCAGTCTGTCCAGATTATAAATTCCTACGTGGCTGGAACCATGGCTTTTATTGCCTTCCTTTTCCTGGTGGCTTATAGCAGATGCTCAATAAATGCCTGAGTTTAAAAACCTCTTCCTCTGGGAAGCCCTCCCAGGTTGCCTTCAGTCCAGACAACTTCCTTTGTTAAACGGCCCCTCAGGGCCCTGAGCTCTACCCACAGGGCACTTACAAACGTATGCAGTAGTACCTCAGTAGCACCGATGGGCCTTGACAATATGACGCTCAGGGAAGGAGTCCATCACACCGGACCACACACTGCATGGTTCCACTTACACGAAAGGTCTCAAATAGCAAATCCACAGAGAGGAAAAGTAGAGTAATGTTGCTTACGGCTGGGAGGCGTGATGGCTATGAGGTGTCCTAACGTGGATGGTGGTGACGACTGCACAAGTGAATGTGCTGAAAGCCATTGCGCTGTACGCGTTATCTGGGCAAGTCGTATGGTACGTGAATCATGTCTCAGTAAAGCCATTAGAAATTACACAGCCGCGTAATTAAGTCGTTAATTGCACCACGATCAGTTCGATGTCGGTCTCCTCTGATGGACTGTCTCTCCGTCTTTATTTATTTTAAGGTTAACTTTTTTAGTCTTTTTTTTAAAACAGACCTTAAATTTTAAAGCAATTTTATGTTCACAGCAAAACTGAGTAGAAGGTGCCGAGATTGCCCCTCTGCGCCCCATGGACCCCCTCATTCCCACCTCTTTTTTACCCTGCGCCCAGCATGGCTGAGAGGCTAGGAAATAGGGGCTGAATGAACGAGGGAAGGAAGGAAGGAAATGTCTCCATGGAGACTCTTATCAGTTCTCATCTATGCATGGTTCTCCCTCTTTTTCCCTCTCAAATCCCAGGGCCCCCGCTTCCCCCGAGAGGGATGGAGTTCTGAGTCCCAGGCAAGTGCACGGGGGCCTCTGTCGGGTGGTTTGTTTTGAATTCCTTCCGCAAGACTCACTCTGAGCTGCAGACAAAGCTCTGGCTTCTCATTTGTTTATGAAAATGATGTGGCCTCTCTGGTGACTGCAGGGGAAGTTAATTAAAATGTGACTTCTCCAGGAGAGGCCTCCGTCTCCCTCAGGGCAAGTGCAGGTGGGCAGACTTCCAGCTGGCAAAGGAAAGACAGACAGACTCCAGAGTTGGCTGTGACTTGGGGGTGGGGGGTGGGGGAGCGGAGAAGCACGCAGGTGCCTCGGTCTCTGCGCTTTTTACCAAGCTGCCTGGGAATCAATAATCGCCAAAGTACTTGGAAGCCTTAGGCTGCAAGAGTTCTTTCCCTCCACAAATATCTTGTATGTGCTCTGCACCAAGCCCTGTGTTGGGGGTTCTAAGGTGAACAAAGCAGAGACATAGCCTTTGCCCTTATGATGTTCATTGTTTTGGAAAAGGGATACTTGAACAAGTAACAGTAGTCAAGTGCACCAGGGAGTTAGACTGGGGGGGGGGGGGCACAGATTGCCTCAAGCTGTAAAAAATTTGAGTCCATAGACTGAGAGAAGATTTTTGCAATGCAAATATCTGACAAAGGACTTTTACCCATCATATATAAAGAGCTGCTACAAATCAATAAGAAAAAAAAAAAGGCAGACAATCCTATAGAAGGATGAGCAAGAGACCTGAACTGGCACTTCATTAAGGGGATGTCCAAGTGGCCAGGATCCATATTTCAAGTTGCTTAACCTCTGAGAAATGCAAAATAAAAACTCAGTGCTCGCGGTGAGAATGCGGAACAGCCAGAACCCAGATATTCTCGGTGGGAGGTACAAACTGGTACAGCCACTGTGGAAAACCATTAAGCACTACCTATTAAAGCTAAGCATATGCCTGCCTGATAACCCCACAATTCCCTCCTGCACACCCAACAGAAGTGAGCGCCCATGTCCAACAAAGATGCATCTGAGAACGCTCACAGCATCTGAGTTCGTAGCAGCCACAGGTGCCAGAAACAATCCGGTGTATAGAAAAGTTGTGACGTAATCATTCCGTAGAATGCTCCGTAGCGGGTGTTCTCAATCCGGCAATCAGGGGAAATTCTGCACCCCCAGAGAACACCTGGCCGTGTCGGGGACATTATGAGTTGTCACAACGTGCTGGGTGGGGACCAGGGATGCTCATCCTTCAACGCACAATACAGTCCTGACCTCCAACAACAGAGGATTTCCCGGCCCCAAATGCCAACCGCACCGGGGCTGGGAAATGCCACCCGGCAGCAACCAGAATGAACAAGCAGCCACAAACAGCCATACAGGGGTTCCTATACGAAGCGCGGGGTGAAAGAAGCCAGATGCGCAAGGCACATGCAGACCAAGCTCAAACGCCAGCGGAACATCGGGGGTGCGGGTGCCCTTGGGGCAGGCGTAGTGGCTGAGGCTGCACAGGGGGCTTTGGGGGATCTGGTCCTGCTGTTCTTGACCTTCATGCCGAGCAATGCTGCCTGCTGTCCTTCAGAACCCAGTCATCTGTGATGTGACCGCGGCCACAGGTTGAGAGAGCGATGCGCTCTCGACGGCCACAGGGGACCACCTCCACACAAGCACCACGCAAACCCCGGCAAAGGATAAACAGCAGCAGCAACACAAAAGCAATTTGTTAGGTCCCCACGGGTTCTCTGCTATGCGCTTTTGCAACGGCAGGGTCCCATCCGGAATTCCCTGAGCGTTGGTTTTGTCATTTGCTCTGACTGTTCCAGACTGGAGTGTCTCCCAGAAGGAGGTCGAGCTCCCCAAGAATTCGGCCGAGAAGGGGGTTCGGCCTTTCCAGCCCACAGCTGGACTTGTTTCCCTCTCGGGCAGGTCACACGGTGTCCAAGAAGGCCCCTCGTAGGGCACCAAAGGGTCCCGGGCCCTTCTCAGCTGCGGCCCCAGAACACCCCCAGAGCTGTGTGCCCCCTGACCTTTTCCCGGGTTCCACCCCCTTCCCCAAACCCTCCTGCGCTTAAAAGTCCACACTCAGGAGTTGAGTCCTTCAGGCCCAGGGGCCGGGTGCTCTGGGGTCCCCGTGATGCCCAGAGGAGCGGCGGACTCACCCCCAACCAGCTCAGCTGGCCAGTGAGACAAGCTCAGGGGCCCAGCTTGGTGCCAACACACCGACCAGAGCGACACCTGTAACCACGGAGGCCGCGCACCAGGCTCCTTTACCTCCATCACTTCTATCTAGTGCTTAGAAGAATCCTACAAAGCAGTTACTACCATCCCAGTTTTCAGGTGCGCAAACGGAGGCCCAGGCAGCTTTACGGCCTTGTTTGCTCAGAGCCTCACGGCTAATGAATGGCCCGGGCAGGATCGGAACCCATATTTGACTCCACATGGCCTTCGCTGCCTCTTAACCACTCACTTGGCATTTAGCGTAAACCACCCGGCACTATTCTCGTGCACCAATCTTAGCTCTGCGGGTGAGATGCGGTTCTTGCAGAGTGGCCGTGGGCTCTGCACTGCCCTCCACACATGGAGAGCCAAGGTAGCCTCACGCCCAGGGGGCCCCAGGGAGGGTCGCTGTTTTCATGTATAACTTGGGGTTCTGGGAAGAGCTCCCACTTCAGAAAACACCGTAGGCCTGATGTGACCTGGACACAGGACAGCGACGTCGTGACCAGGTCAGGGCGCAGGAGAAGAAAGAAAGGTACCGACCTTGGACTGGCATTTTGGAGAGAGCTGACCG